CGTTTTGAAAAAGAGTCAAACTGCAATACATACGTAAACCGTGTGGATCGGTTGGAACGAAAAGGTACGCGTGACAAAGTCATATATTTGAGATAAACGAAAAAATTTGTTTTATATAAATTTTTCAAGCTTTATGCTACTTTGCTCTGAAGAGGGGACACTTTAAAGTAAATTTAAAAAATTGTTTAAACATTTCGGTTTTACGCTAGAGATTTATTGTGAATTCAATTTCGGTCAAACTGTCAATGTCCACTTTCTGTTTTTATATATTAAAATACGCATCGAGACATTAGGCATGAGATTACAAATAGAATTCTATCCTGAAATCTGACGGGAATTAAAATCGTCTAAAGTAGACATTTTTAACCATCCACGTTCCGTCTGTGTTTCACTTTGGCCAGCGGGCAGACAAAAGGCGGCCGGAGTTTCTTCTGCTAATTACGTGTCGATAATGGCAAGGGCGGTCAATTTTATCAATCACAGGCGAGAACTCGCGTTACTTTGCCAGGAAAGTTTCCCTGCCATCTTCCTACCCTTAGTGACCGCGAAGATAATGACGGCGGTGAACACTGGGAAGACGGACAATGCCCGGCGAGAGGGGCAGTGTGGAAGAGATCTCGAGATTAAAGAACGCGTCGCACCGTGTCCAAGTTTATCAGCTAATTGCTTCCCACAACGCGTCGCAGAGATCGCGCTGGAAGGATCGAAATTTCGACTTTTGTTCTCGTACCGCGAGCAATCCCTTTGCAAATGTCGACTTGATTATAAAAGTAGCGCGCTCGTGGTATTGTAAAAATATATCATTTATCATCTGGTTATAAGACCGACAGAATCAAGTCAATGACCGCGCGGTACCGTTTGGTTTAACACCGTGTCCATCGAGTAGTCAAGTAGATGAACAGCTAACAATCAGCGGATAAACAAACCAGCGCGGGTGTCTCTACACACACGCCCCGTTCCCGAAAAGGCCACCCCTAATCATGGGAAACTCGAGTGGTGACATATGCTCTCTCTCGCGGCAGTCAATTAAACGGCGCCGTCGATCCGACGGTGAGGCAGGGACCGCGTGTGGGAATCGGCCGATTTTTAGAGTCAACAAACATAAATCAAGTACTCGCCAAGTCATCCCCTCTCCCGTGTCCCTATCCATTGACCACCCGCGGGTCCCGCGCATCGTGTCGTCACGGTGGTGGCACGCACGCACGCACGTACGCACGCGAGGAATAACGGCGACAATTACGTGTTTAGAGGACACAAAAGGGGTGGCACCCGTGGGACGAGCCATCGGAGCGTGGAGGCGCGTGCCGCGGCAATTCGCCACCCGACCGAGCGATCATCTCTCGAGTGGCCGCATTGTACGCAGCGATGACCCTGGACCTCGTGCCGAGGCCTCCATTGTGTCGGCCTCGAGGAAGTCGGACACGGATATCCGTATCAAGCGGAGCGGCTCTTAACGGCGGCGTTTAATGAGTCTTAAACACCCTCGCGACCGACACCTTCTCGGCGCCGCATCTTCTTGAATGCCGTTAACGTTACGCTACGTCGTTTGAGAGGTTTAAGCTCATAGGAGCGTCTACAGCGCGGCGAAAAGAGGCAGTCGGATTGATTTGTAGCTCAGATAATTATAAACGATCGTGATCTAATATGTCTCCTTGCGTTCGCTTAATTTATTTCTATGACAGTCAAACGTGAAGTAATTTCTCCCCGCTTCGATTATTCATTTTTACTTTTACTTTAGTGAGATTGCGATTCATTTTTATGTGCATTAAAAAGTAAGTTTTATGAGAATTAATCAAACAAAAATTGTCATTTGTACATTTTTTCCTTTCGTGCGGTCTTGTAATCTTCTTATTACCGATCCGAATTAAAATGAAAAAATATATAAATATGATTAAAAAAGTTATTTTTTAACATATTCATGTTTGATTAAACGTACAGAAAGATTTTTTAAGATACAAGTTACGTACACTGAAAAAAATATTTGTAAAATTACATGATTATGCTGGGTTTTTTTCCGACCCAGCATAATCATGCAATATTACTACCCACATGGAAAATTGCAGACTTTTTTCTGTAATTTTGCATGAAAATTCAAGTGTTTTTACACAAAAATAGTAATTTCACCTATATTTAACCTATATTTTACCATTAATATGTATTTTCACTTTAAGAAATCTGGAAAAAAAATTACAGTTATAATTAGGTAATTTTCCGGATTTGAACAAGTAATTTCCATGTAAAAGTACATTAATTTTTTTCAGTGTACTTATTCATCTCTTCGCCTTGCACGACAAAGATAAATTCGATTAAACAAATATTGTAAATTTAACTGATTTTTCGAGATGCTAATCTTTAAGTAAATAAGAAATATTGTTTTTTCTCAATTAATAAAGATCATAGTAAACTCATCAATTACGTTTGTTATCAACGAGACCTTTCTAAGTCCAATGCGAATTCTTTCCTTCAAACAATACATAAACTTTCAGTTACTTACTAAGCCCGCCAATTCCGTCGTCGCGGCAGGCACCTCCTGATCGGCAAGATTCATCATAACTTGGCGGTCCGCTCCCGCGCGATCTATCGCTATCGAGTCGCAAGCTCACTACAGACACACGGGAGATCACCGCTCAAAAATTGGGAAAAAATTGCGCAACTGAAATTCGCGCGACGCGAGTCTCGTCGATCGCTACCGGTGTTACAGCGCGAAGATCGAAGATAGCACTGAATCGGGTGATTTGATCTCAGCGCGAACAGAGGGGTGAGCCACCCTCGCGGCTGGAGCTGGGGGGTTGTGTCTCCGAGCCCCGGTGTACGCCCCCAACGTGACGTAGAATTCAGTCCTGCGCGTATTTCGCCTCCTTGCCGACCACTGCCTAACCGGGTGCTGGGCGGAGCCTGAAACTCATTGGCGACATACGAGCTCGCGATCAACGAGGGATGATGCTGCAGCCACGAACCTCCACGCGAGAAAGGACCACGGGCTCTCTCTCAGCTCGAGCTCCGAGCAAATTCGATTCGATCGCCATCGAGATATTCGCGCGCGCGACTAGAGATACGTTTTAAGCCAGCCTGGGCCAACGTGAGCACTTCAGCGATTCGCCATTCGGGATTAACTCTCCTAAAGTGTGTCTTTAGAATCACCGCAGTCTTTAGAAATCTTCGCGGAATTTAGCGTGATTCTAAGCGAAAATTATTGCACCTGTCCCGATAGATTTTATACCGTCAACTGATTTAAAAAATGTAAAATATAAAAGTCATATTCAGGTGTCTTTTTCGTCTCAATACATTAGAAAAATTGCAAGACTGTAAGAGAAACGTATGTAAACGATAATTTTTCTTCCTCGATTTATTTGCAAAATGACAAAATTTAAATTGATTTCGATATAATTTCGAAATTAAATAAAAATTTAATTATTTCTTTGATATGAAAGATTATTAAATTCTCTGCTTAAAGAGGATCGATCGCGTACTGTTCGCAGAGAAGTCTTGTTACACCGAGAGTTCGTCAACGTCTTCTGCGCGACACTTTTATTTTTTTTATCCGCGACATCGAGGGTTGGACGTAAAATGCAATAATCTACATGTTTAAACTACTATATTTAATACTAATCTATGTAAACTATAAGTAGTTTATCAAAGATTTATTTTGTCAGAAATATCAAAAATTTATGTTTGGTTTGCAATTTTATTTTCAGCTGCTGTCATTTTATTAGACACAATTTTTAGAATAATTGTGAAAAGTTAACACAATGGTTCTAAAATTTTTTATCTTATAAAAAGGGAAAATAAACATTATTATGCATATTATGTGTATTGCAACCGTGAACGAAGCAACACTGGTTATTGCCATTTAAAAGGTCACAATAATCAGCGTAATTAATAATATTTCTTTATTAATATCATGTATCTTTGATGTATCAATAAATAAGTTATAAGAAAACCGCGCAGCTAATCCAATCTAGTTAAAACCTACTTTTTACTTCTGTAGGATTATTTGCAAAAATAAGTTTGAAGAATTAATCAATCGTTCAACTTATAATAAATTACATTGCTTGTACTGTCTACGATCCATGTAGATATATGTATACGTACATACTATGTATAATCTTGAAACGACGTATCTCTGCATGCCCGAGTGATTTGTTAAGCCCGGTTTCACCAACGTCACTTAACTTTAAGCCTAATTCGTTCTTCGTCGCTTTCCAACTGTTACTTTAGAAAGAAAGAAACGTGAAATAAACAGACTAAAGTTAAAGGACGTGGCGAAACCGGGTCTTAGCGGCGGTAGGCACTTTCGTTATCGGTAAAAGCTACCGCTTTGTACATCCGTAGCTAAGTGCATCACGTGACACAGCCAGAATTCTCACTCGGAGTAAGATGTCACCACCAAGAGGAAATATACACGAGCGCGTGCGCGACAACCTTGCCGAATGGATAGCCCACAACTTTCCATAGCTTTTGCTATCTCGGGCAATTCCGTAATCGTGAAATTGTGAATGAAAATGAATTTGCGCCGAGGGACGGGCACGAACGCTCGCTGACGTGGTAACGCGGCTGGCATGTCGATTATGTTGTAAACACCGAAGGCTCCCTTCGATAGCGCAGAGGTGAACGCCGAGACGGAAATTTCGGAGTAAAAATCATCTCGGATAGTGGTAGTTACATCATTGTAAGTAGCGATAAACTTTTTGTGAATGACTTGCACCTTTGTGCGCAATTGCTTGGCCAACAACATCGATATAGTTGTATTTAATATGTTATCAATATCTACGTAGTAACAATGGCAGTTTACTTATCATCTTTTGTCCTCGACACTGCTCCAATTTGTTAATCATATATTTCTTAATCCGATACTTTTAGTCCATCGTTATCGATGTAACAAAAAAGAGACACTTGACGACAATGTTCTCATAATTGTAATATAAAAGTAATACAAGTGCCTGTGTTTCGGAGCAACGGATTGCTCCAGTGTTGTAACGTTACGTTTCGTTCACGATTATTCCGCCCTGAACGTTATTGCACTTCTCTTACCGTGGCTTTTGTTGTTTCACACACAAGTCCGTTAAATCCGATTGAATCCCTCGCGAAAGTTTTACGATTCTTGCTATCGAATCGGTCGATTCTAAAACGATGCTTTGACGTCTTAAAATTAACCATAGCATATCTCGTCAAAATCGTGTCTCGGAATGACGTCAGGGGGGAGACGTCAATCTACAGCGTTAAAATAAAAATTTAACCCTACACTACAGATGTATTACAAATTTATACGAACGTACAATTGGAAAAACTTTCTTTTGAGGTTAAGCTAACCTAGTTCAAGCTCCTGAGTATACTCCCAATTTTGCATTGACTCAAGTCGTCGGTGATCACGATTTTACAGACGCAGAGAACTTTGGGCATTAATGCTCATAATACACCGATGAGATATGCGGCATCAAGCTAGGCGAAACCCCCTGCGAGTCGCTCCGCTTGATCCATCTGTCGCTACAAGCTACGCTATCTGCCCACATTCGAGAGATGTCTGCGGTAGAGGCAACGCCATTCATCCGCACCATCGAGTGGGAGATGATGGACAAGACCAAATTCTTTCCGCTCAGCATGCTGTCCTCGTTCTCGGTCAGGTGTTGCCTGTACCCCCTCACAGTGATCAAGACTCGTCTTCAAGTGCAGAGACAAAATCACATGTACAACGGTAGCGCAAGTTGATTTCTACGTAAACCGAGTTTGCCGAGAGCCCGCGAATCTTTATGCAATATCTCTCGTCCCGCAGGCATGATAGATGCGTGTAGAAAAATTTACAAACTGGAAGGCGCCTCGGGGCTCTATCGGGGCTTTTGGATAAGCTCCATTCAAATAGTCTCTGGGGTGTTTTACGTGTCGACATACGAGGGAGTACGCCACTTGCTCAGGCAAGACACACCTCTTGGCCGCGTCGACTCGAAGGTCAAAGCGCTGATCGCTGGCGGCGCCGCAAGTTTAGTCGGGCAAACGATCGTCGTCCCGTTCGACGTTCTCAGTCAACATCTGATGGTTCTCGGGATAAATAGCACCAAGCACGGCAGGGTGTACGTAGATAAGGTGAGTGAGACGAAATCCCTATCCCAAAATTCTCAACACCTTCAACCCTCGATTCGCCTGAGACGCTAATCCCGAATGTCTCTTACAGATGGGAATGAATCCTTTAGGTCTGACCCTCGAATCCGGAAAGACTCGCGCGCAGATCTCCGCGGAAATAATTAAGTTGATTTACCAGAGGGATGGCTACCGCGGCTTCTACCGGGGGTACCTGGCGTCATTGTGCGCCTATGTACCTAACAGCGCCCTTTGGTGGGGATTGTACACGGTTTATCAAGGTAATCGTACTTTGGACTTCGTGACGATTGAGTGAAAACAGAGAGCGTTACAGCGCTTTTCGTATCTTCTTCTTGGTAGACGAGCTTATAAAACTGCTGCCGGGATGGTTCTCGCACCTGTGTATACAGGCGATGGCGGGCACGTTAGGGGGTTTCACGACCACGATCATCACGAATCCCCTGGACATCGTGAGGGCGCGATTGCAAGTGCAACGATTAGACAGTATGCTCAGTGCGTTTAGGATACTGTGGATCGAGGAAGGGCTGCTCATGTTTACCAAAGGACTCTCCGCGAGGCTCCTGCAATCCGCTTGCTTTAGTTTCTCAATCATCCTAGGTTACGAAACTATCAAGAGAGTGAGTATAACCGAGGAGTACAAGAGTTACGTTCGGTGGTGAGCTTAGGAGCTAATGTCACGATTAATTTCACGCATGGAAATTGGGTTCCATCCGCGACTTTTTGTATCGCGACGTGCCTCTCGATGCGTGTCACTTTTTACGCATCGAAGAGAAGGCGGTCGCAATTTTTTTTTCTTTTCGACAAAGGATCTTATCGGAGGACGAAAACTATTCTGTAAGATAAGCTGCATTCATCTAAATTAATTCCCTTCGGCTATGCAAGTGCTATTAAGTTATGTTAGACTTTTAGCGCGCTCACAGAACTATCTTTCGTTACCCGAACAAAAAAAGTATGATTGCATAATTGTGTCACCCGTCATCTGCCGTGCGTCATTGCCCGTAAAGCCTGTATCGGACTGCGCATTGGAGATTAGAATTCAATCAAAACGAAACGGATTAAAATTATACTTGTACGATTGGTCGAGTTCTATCGGTCTAATCCTCAGCTCGCAATTCTCTCAGTCTTCGATGCGCGGTCTAACGTGGGCTTAACTCGCGCGCCGCAATTTGATACGTCATGCAAATCTCGTAGAGAGACTTTACATACTTCGGTGTACATAAAACAATAGTTCCGAGTGACGGCAACTAGACGAGTATTTGTAAATGTACTAAAGCGCATTTTATACGCTAGCGTATCGTGTGTCAGATGGAGTACAAACTTCGTAACATATTTTAGATATGTTACTGTGATACAAATACGTCCTGCTCGTACTCTGAAGACGGCCCGTGTCTTAGATACGCGCCCGTTCATACCGTTAACAATAAAATCCTAGTCAGACATGGGCATGTAACGCGTGTACGTATATCGGCCGTCTTGAAAATACGGACAGAACGTAATACCTAAGAATCAAGCGGATTATACTGAGGCTCTATTCTGTACTCGGCTACCGACAGCTTTTCTATCATGTAGGAAAGCTGCGCAAATGTCGTTAACGACATCGGTAGTAGCCGAGCACAGAATAGAGCCCTTGACTCACTAAGCTATCGGTAGAGGATATGCCGCAAAGATTTTAAGAAATATGACTGTTCAATATTTCCACCTGCATCGTGTATGTATATACAGCAAAATCGAGAGAATCCCCGAGAACTACGTATGTTACAATAAATTTTATTGGCCACATTAAATCGTGGCGGGTCTCCTGCTTGTTTCCTGTCCTTACGACGCGAGCTCGTATCTCCTGGTATTACCTGCGTGCAGACAGCTCTGATTACTACCCGCGGAAGATTGAAACTCGCTCCTCTCGGTTGCCACGTGAGCGCAACGCGAGCAAATTAGCGTATCGTTTCGAAATTAATTCGCCTGACATGCAAATCTGGAATGGATCAAGATTGAACATGGGTGGTAGACAAAGGCCGGCGGCGCGTCCGAGTTTCCTACGTGAACGGATGCATCGATTGGTATGCATCGCCGAGTAGATCGATCTGACATCTCCTCGATGACTGGGCGCCAGATCGGCGCTGCGATTTTCTATGCCGGGCGTCGATGCGCTCGCACCTCGGGGATATACATGAATTATTCCAGGGCCGAGGTAACGCCCGGCGATGATTAATCGAATCCGAGCGAGACGACCTTCGCCAGCTGTACACAGGCGATGCGAAACTTATAATTGCATAATCGCGCGGCGTGCAAGCCGAGCTTTCGCGTCAACGCTAACGTCGGAGAGCATCGCCGAAATTGATTCCGCGGTTCTGCCTACCCAGCTGTTATTGACCGTCGTACACGGAGCGATCGTCAACAAATTGAAGACAAACATACTCCGAGGATTATCATTATCTTCTAAAAATTATCACATCTCCAGACGCGAACAGTTTTTTATCATTTTTATCAGTTGTATTTACATTTGCATTAGCGCGCGGCTCGATGGATCGCTCGCGTCTTAATGTGTGCGTACACGCACGACGACGCAGTACGCACGAGCAGCACGTGGTCTCGAACGATATATCTACGTTTAAGCTGGAATCACACGAAAAAACTTAAGGAGTGAGACTTAAGACTTAAGAATTTCAACTAATCGGAATTTCCAGCATTGCTTTGCAAGTTTTAAAACGGCTGCTTACGTTCTCGTTTTCTCGTGCGTTCGGGCCTTTATCTGCGAAGTCGTATAGCCATCTGCCGCGCTTAATGCAACTTTGTGGCTCGCACTCTCGTTATCCACAGGGCAGACTTATCGCCCGATTTTCCACGCGCGGAGCAACTTGTTTTCTCGCGCCGACGAATCCTCGGCGTATCGCTCTCATCGCTAGGTGCCCCATAGAGATCCTGTAATCAGAGACTGGCCATATAAGAGTTCGTCAAATTCCTGCGAGTGAGATAGCCCAGGTTTCGCTCTCGCTCGCAGGAATTTGACGAATTCTTATGACCAGTCTCTGAATGCAGGATCTCTAGGTGCCCCGTATGATTTACAGCCGAATTTGAACGCGCATTTTCAAACTTATCCCACCGCCTCGTGAAAAGATCCGCGTTGCGTGTTCGCTATGTACCATAAATCTGGGCTGCACACGGTGCGTAACTGAATATGAAGGGTGGTCCATGCCGACTGCATGCGGCACCGTCGTCGCCGGGCAAACGTCAAACAGAGAAACCGGGCGCGTTCACCGGGTTTCCTATTTCCAGCGAGATCAAACATTTGTGGATCGGGGCGCGCGGCGGGCGAGGGGAAAGAGAATATTATTCGGAGAACGATGTACACCAAACGAAAACGTCTCCTCCGTTCTTTGAGGAATCGTCGGTTTAGCGCCAAGGCGGTCTCTCTCTCTAAAAGGGGGGATCGCCGCGGCGGATCTTTTTCATCCCGCGGGGACGTTAAAGCGAATCTTCCTTTTTGTCCCCGCGATTTCTAAACGACACCCCTTGCCGCGCGCGCTGGAGGCAGGAGGGTGCGCGTGCTTTATGCCACCGTGACGTCCCGGGGGCGCCGAATATCGGGTAATTTTTCTCAGGGAAATATGGGCGCGACAAAAATACCTTCGCGCCCGAAGTAACTCGCGGAGAAGATCGCCTCGCGTTTCGCACGGCTAATTCTCGCGCTTCTCTTTGCGAAGGAGGGCGGGAAAAGAAGGAAGCGACTCGGGGGACGTCATGACTAAAGGAATTTGGGAGCGAAACAGGGAGACGGGGACCCCGTTGTTCGCCCGAGTCGTTAACCGAATTTTCAAAGGTTCGCGTTTAGGGAGGAGGAAAATACGGAACGCACGCGCGCTATCTCATTAGCGACGTTCGTCAGTCATCTCCCCCGGCATCCGAGAGGCCACTTTTCCCAAAGCGACTCGCCTCGCTTCATTTTCTAAGGACTATTCTCGCTTCCCTCATTATGTTCCGTTCCGCCACGGGCAAAACGAGCACGCTGATACGTGCAACAGAATAGCTCGCGCGCGGGGAACGACGACCTTACGCGCTAAAATGTCGCTACGGCGTGACGTACCTCATACGCGCGCTCGTATGTATTATTAGCCTTCTCCTATCTAAATCTAAACGTTTCTATGCACGAAAGAAATTAGTAAAAATTCAATATTCACGAAATTTCTCAATCTCACGCGCTAAAATGTCGCTACGGCGTGACGTACTTAATACGCGCGCTCGTATGTCTTATTAGTCTCCTCCTATTCTAAATCTAAACGTTTCTATGCACGAAAGAATTAGCAAAATGCAATATTCACGAGATTTCTCGACCGTACGCGCTAAAATGTCGCTACGGCGTCCCGTGTTACTAATGGGCGCGCTTGTACGTATTATTAGTCTTCTCCTATCTCAATCTAAACGTTTCTATGCACGAAAGAATTAGCACAATAGAATATTCACGAGATGTCTCATCGCTGAAAGTTGAGACAACATACGCGAACTTGTGTCACAAAATGTCGCACCGATATCGTCGAGAAAAGATTATTCTAAAAATAGTTGCGTATCTAGTCAATTAAGATGATGTTCCGAGGGGTCGGAGAGTCTCGTGCTAGGCAAGGGTGATGCAAAATGATCAGCACGTGGACTGCCGGCGAAACCCTCCGCGCGATCTCTCTTTCCTGGAACTGAATTCTTCTAAATTCAACCGCACGAAGGGCAGACGACGGGCAAGGTCCTCCACGGCCGTATCGTCTAGCAGCCGGGTTGCGCGACATTAACGTCGCTTCCTTTTTCCGAGTAGCGAAGGGGTTCTCGCTCGAAGAAAAAGCACGCTCGTTAGAAAGAACTGCGGCGCGTCGTCTCGACGCGCCCAGAAAAGGAAAAGTAGTACGCTTTCCCGGCCGTACATACGCGCACGTCCCGTTTGATTTTACTCGAAAGTATAACCACATCTCCGAGGACATCGAGCCAATAATCCAGAATTTATTTTTTCCCTCCCGGCGTAAAACCGGCTCGATTTTTCGGACGGGTCTTAACTCGGAATTAAGAATATCCCGAATATCCAGAACGAAGCTCATAAATTTTCATCGGAGACGATCAGCTCGAGACCTGTACTGCGTTTCAAAATTACCGGAGTTCGATAATACGTTACATAATAATGTTACATAATGAGCTTTTTTACCTCACAGGCTAACGTTATTTTTAACGTTCGCTTAAAATGTCGTGTGCAAGAACATGTTTGGGCGTGCGCATCCACGACACGCATGCACGCGCGCACGCATGCACGCACGCACGCACGCACGCACGCACGCACGCACGCACGCACGCACGCCCGAGGAACGGCCGGCGGGTACGTTCTAAATCCGCGTACCGTGTAAATCATCGCGCTCACGCACGTGCGTGCGTGCGAGCACCGCTCACGTGCCACGACCGGCTGCGCTTAAGCGCACGAGAGCTCCGACCTGCACTCTTAATCGTTCTCCACGGTTTTTCTCGCCGCGCGTATAACGCGCGTACCCGCGGCGGTGCCCCGTTCCTCCGCGGTAATATCGCAACGTGCATCTGCATGGCTGGAGCCGGTAAAAAGGCCAGCGCTCATTACGCCTCATTATTGTCATTATCGCAGCTGTTATTGTCGTCGCCACTGACAACCATTAATCACTGCTCGATCATTAATCAAACGGTCAATTAAGAGAGTACGGGGCGCGGGCATTGAATGTTAAATATTAAAAAATCCCCGACCGAACAATCCTCGAGGAAAGGATCGTGCGCGAGGCGATCGGGAGAGGCGATCGTTAAAGCCGCGCCGGCCCAGTCGTTAGAGGCTCGCCGGGTTACTTTGCAATTGTAACTATTAGCTCGCAGCGCGATGTAGATTCCCGCTTCGCGGACCTCGTGACGGACGATCCCCGCGCTCGCCGCGCGCGGCCCCGAGCGTGCAACGCCGTTCCCTGCGATGCGAAGCGAAGCAGAGCGGAGGGATTAACTACGGGTAAAGAGATACGCACGACGCGATACGGCGATCTTCCGACAGGCAGGCAGGCGCGGAGAAACTCGCGTCGGGAGGAATAAAAACCAAGACTCGAGGAACGGGGTGTAACCGCGGCGCGTGGCCGCGGGCACGCACGTGCGTGAGCACGATGATTTACGCGGACGCGAATTTAGACCGGTAGTGCAACCCTTTGCTCTCGGCTGACGTTGCAAGAAACTTCGGATTAGCCCGCGCGAGTCTCGGCCCTACAGCGCGCGCGCGCGCTATACTTACGCGCGAACGCACTCGTCTTGAAACACGCGCGGCGAGCGCGATGCGAGCTATAGATACCTGAGCCCGAGTAAACCGCGTGTTAAAATTACTCGGATGCGCGTTACGAGAGCCGGGACGCGCCGTAGCGCGAGGTTTGGAATGATTGCCTTATAAATTCACCCGGCGTGAAATCTCAGTTAATTCACCGCGGTTCTTTCGCAAAAGCGAACGTTCTACATCTTTATCCTGCCGCTCCCTGAGCACGACAAGTGCTCCCGTAGGAAAAGGAGCAGCAGGGCGACTTGGATGAACGCGAGGAGCCCTTTAGAGACACAAAGCAACGTAATAGCTTACGCGACAAAGACGCAAGCGTAAACGTAGATAGCGCACAAGCTTCGGCGTAAAAGTAACGTCATACGTAATTGGTGATAAGTACAACCAAAACTTGTGCGCAATCTACGCTTACGTTTGCGTCTTCGTCGTAAGCTATTACGTTGCTTAGTGCTCTGACCCTTACACGACAAACGAAAAGGCTCAAGTGCG